CAGTGCCCATTTCTGCCGGGGCCACCCCGGATTTGTGGCTGTGCCTCCTTTATCTGGGGCTGCAGCTGCCCCTTATCTTCTGGCTTCAGGACATGAGACAGGGATTAGGGCAGCCCAGGCCAAGGACGCGAGACAGCAGGGTTGGGCGGACGGGTGGCAAGGGCCAGGGTGCTGGGGGGGGGGGTGCCGCAGGGCATCCGCAAGCCTTGGCAGCCGGGGCTGCTGCGTGCACGCGTGCGTGCGCGTTGCAGGGGGACAGTTTGTACACGTGTATGGCTTTTGCATGTGTGATGGTGTGTACGCATGTGCAGCTGTGACTGGGGAGTGTGTGTGACTTGGGGGGCTCTGTGTATGTGATTGTGTTCTGGGTGTGTGTTTATGTGTGTCTGTGTGTGTGTGGCAGTGCTTTTGTGTGTGTGTGGCTGTGCATCCATGAGCCCCCGCCCCGCCGCACAGATGCTGCACAACCCCCAGCCCAGCCCCCCCCGGCTGCCTGCCCTGCGGCCCCGGCTCCCTTGGGCTGGCCTGATGGCTTTCCCGCCTTGCTGCCCCGGGGCCCCCAGGGACAGGGCTCCTGACCTGCAAATGGCCCTGTGGGGATGGCCGTCAGCCCTGCTTTTCCCATCCTCCCTCGCCTCGACCCGGCCACCTCCTTCCTGCCGCCCATGGGCCTCAAGGGCCCCATCCTGGCCGAGGCCACCAGCTCCTCCTGGCCCCCTCGCTCTGACCCTGGGCTGTGTCCCCTGTCGGGGCTGAGGCTTCTCTCCACTCCAGCATTGTCCAGCTTGGGGCCAGGATGACTGTCAAATTAAGAACCCTGAAGCCTAGTTTAGAGGAGCCTCTTGGCCGGCAGTTGGCAGCTCTGAGCTGTCCCAGTGACCCCTGGCAAGCCCATTCCCTTCTCCACGGGAGAACGACACTACCAGTCCCTGAGGATCTGCACTGGGCACAGAACGACTGTGGGAGCAATTTCACCGATGAGCCAACTGAGGCCCAGCCATCTCCGTGACCAGCTCATCGTGGGGTGGAGCAATGCCGAGTGTATGGAGATGCTCCAGCTGGGGGTGGCGGGAGAGACAGAAGACACAGAGGGCTCCGGGCCACCTCCACCCCTGCAGCGCTGGTTCCTGGGGGTCCTGAGGTACAGCCCGGGGCCTGCAAGGCCTGGACCAGCTCCTGGTGCTAAGATGGAAACTTCTCCACCAGCCAAGTCCATGTCTTGGCCAGCAGCCGCTGGCCTCCCAGAACCTCTGCCTGGGCCTCCACTAGTGAACAGAGCACTCCCCTTGGGAGCAGGGACTGCGCAGCAAGGGCAGGGGGGCCAGCCTCGGGGGTCAGGGGTGGAGGAGTGGCCAGAGCAGTGGTTGAATGTTCTGGAATTATCCAGCCCGGGGTGTGAGCCTCTTCCCTACTCTGTGACCTTGGGCCAGCGTCTTGACCTCTCTGATCCCCAGGTTTCCCACCTGCCAAGTGAGCACAGAGCAATGTGGGGGCGGGGGCATTGCCTGGAGCTACCTGGGGGGGGCACCCGAGGAGGTAGTGAGTGAGCGGAACTAATTCCCAGGCAAACAACATAGAGGGCTGGTAGGTGACAGGGTCTGGGCTCTGGGTGCACCTGCACTGTCCCAACCCTGCTTGGCCTTGACCCTAGGGCCAGCAGGCTCAAATCAGCTACAGGGGCCACGTGCCCATAGACACCCCCTACTCCACACTGAGCCTTGGTTACTCTGTGCATATTTGCGCACTGGGGAGACCACAGCCCATGCAACCCACGGGCTGCTCTAGAAGCAGGGGAGGTTCAAGGCACTGTTCCACCCACCCCCGCCCCACAGCAGCCACAGTCTGGGAGAAGGAAGGTTTAAAAATAAAGCATTGTAAATACCCGTGTTTCCTGCAAACAGAACCAGCCCCTGAAATCCCCGTGGCCTCCCGGGCAGCCAGGCCCAGACAGCTCCTTTGAGGGGGGCGGGGGCCAGAGGGAGGGCGTGTCTGTGTGCGCCCCAGTTCCCAGCTGCTGTGTGAGTCAGCCAGTGCGACATGGTGTCTGTCACTGCCTGTCCAGGGGGTGACAAAGTGTGTGGGCTGGTGACAGAGAGCGTCCAGAGGTGCTGGGTTGCGTGAGGTGACACACTGGTGCGTGAAGGTGTCGGACGGAGTGAATGTGTGTCTCCTGTGACCACGTGCGGCTGGCCCCGAGCAGAACAGGGTTTCTGGGGGCCTGCGGGTGATGGGGTCTCCAACAGCGGTGGAAGGTGGGCGCGTGGCCTGGCGTACCCCCTCCTACCTCCTGTCTCGCCCCACCGCAGCCTCACCCTGGCGCCCCTGCCCACCCCAGAGGAAGAACCGAGTCTTTCAAGTTGCTGTTGCCAGGGCAACCGCTTTACGAGCGTCCACATGGTGGGCACATGTGTGTGTCCTGCGCCCCATGTGTCTGCACGCCCCCACCCCCATGGCCCCAGCCACGGTGGGGAGGGGGATGCCGGCAGCGTGGGGTGAGCAGGAGGTGGCCAAGGGGCGGCTGGTGACAGCTTAATGGTGGCTGGGTGTGGGGGGGTGGGCTCCCGGCTGGGCCGCATGTGTGCAGAGGGGCTGTGCCTCCCGGACTAGCCTCACACGTGTGTCGTGTGTATCGGCGCCAGGTAGCCTGGGCGTGTGTAACGATCCACCGAGCGTGCGTGAATGTGCATGAGCAACCACGGGGCGACTTGGAGGGCCGGTGGGCTACTGTGTGTGTGTGTGTGTGTGTGTGTGTTATGGGTAGTGTGAGCTCTGTGTCCATGTGCACACATGCGTCTGGCTGGAAGCGAAGGAAGGACACCTGCGTGTATGTGTCCGTGCATGCCCTTGGGCAAGGACGTGGGTGGTCGTGCCCGCTCCTGGTTAGGGATGGTGCTGTTCTCGTAAAGGGTGTCCCAGTGTGTGTGAGAACAAGGATGGCACCGGGTGTGACCCTGCCTGGATCAGAGATTTGGGGGTCTGTGTGCGAATGGCCAGGGTGAGCGTGTCACCGGGAGGGAGCACAGGGTGACACCAATAATGGCAGACACTCGGGCATCGCTCACCACGAGCCAGGGACGGTTACTCCTATTTACTTAATCTCTACGGCAACCCTATTAGAATCGACTCATAATACCCCGTGTTACAGATGGGGAAACTGAGGCACATTCAAGAAGTATCGGCCCAAGGCTGCACAGAGCAGACACCTGTCCAGGACCAGGCAGCTCCCACGCCGCCACTTCTCTGATACCTGCTCCTTGTTATGCCCCCACCCTACCCGCAAGCTCACATCCTGGCGGACTCCTTCCTGCTGTCCTTCCTCCGTGCTCCCGACGTCCCCCACCCGCATGCGCCCGAGCACAGGGGGTGAGACGACCTGAGTGTCTCCTGTCACCGCGCACACTGCATAGCAGTGCAAGTTGTACAGGCCGTTGGGGGGGAGGGGGTGTGTTGAGGGCCCGGAGGGGGCGCGGGGAGAGGCGGTGGTCCTAGGAAGGTCTAATACCCATACGAATCCCAGGGCTGCTGGGATCGGAGGAATGCAGGCGGCCTGGGCCAGAGTGAGGAGGCCGCAAGAAATCAGGCGGCAGCAGAGAGAAACCAGAGCACCCGGCCCCAGGAACGCAGGCGGCGGCCGGGACCGCGCGGGAAAAAGCCCGATGCGGGGGCCGAGGGCTGGGAGGTAAGGAGGGTGTTTTTCGGTAACTAGGCCGCGGTAGGGCGGGGCCACGGCAGTTCCAGCCCCGCCCACTCCACCCAGCCCGGAGTCGGCTGGGGCCGCCAGGGGGCGCTTTAGGAACGCGGAGCCGTCGGGGAGGGGGCGCGGTGGGTTTGGGCGCGCAGGCAGGAGAGGCAACGCGCGCAGGCGGGAGAGGCAACGCGGGAGAGGCAACGCGGGGTCTTGGTACCCAGAGAGCGCCGCGGAGAGCCAGGGGTGGGAATGGGATCCCTCGCAGGGCTCTGAGGCCAGCCTGGGGAGAACTGCCACTTGATGGGGGGCTCTGTGGGCAGCGGGGATCATCAGTCTCAGGGTATCACTTACTGTCTTAGGAGAAAACATTGGGTCTCAGTTCTCTAGAATGGCTTTGTCACGGGGGGCTTCTTTAGCTTTGTGGAAAGAGGACCTGGGGCAGGACTAGGAGGACCCCGCAATCTTCAGTGGGGTAGGAGGAGACTGTGGCCGCTGTGACCGCCGTCTGGGGTCGTGCTGTAACTCTTAATTCCCCGGAGGGGAATCTGGGGGAGGGGCTTCCTGGGGCCCCAGACTTTTGGAAGATGCGCCGTTCGGGTCTCTGGAGTAGGGGTGGGAAACAGCTAATTAGGGGGGCGCTGTGCTGGGGTTCCCTTGAGGGGCTTCCTTGGTGAGGGTACTTCTTGGGCTCCTGCCTTCCGCAAGGGGACCGGGCAGGACCCAGGAGTCTGGCAGCAAAACCAGATCCTCAATAGAGCGTGGGGCGCTGAAGGCCGCGGATACTGGCGTCGGGGGCGCTGTGCCTCTTAACCCAGAAGGGGGCCCTTGGGGAGGGGGCGTCTTGGGGCCCCGGCTTTCCTAAAGGGGCCCGGGGAGATGACCTTCTAGAGGGGGAGCCGTGGCCCCTGCACCCTAGTCACCTGCGCTCCTCCCGCCCCCCTCTCCTTGGGCGGGGGCGGCTCCCGTCCCGGGAAACCCGAGCCACCGCCCCTGGCCCCGCCCCCGGCCCCGCCCCCCGCCCGGAGCCGGCCAAGCCGTCCGCGGCGGGAGCGGCGGAGGCGGCGGGAGAGCGCGCCGTGGAGCCGCTCCGAAAGCCCGGGCCCCTCGCGCCGCAGCCCCGGAGCCCAGCGCCGCGCGCCCAGGCCGCCCGCGCCGTCCGTGCGCCCCCGCGCCCCGCGCCCTCCGAGCCGCCGCCCGTCCAGGGCACCCCCAGCCCCAGCCCCAGCCCGGCCGGGATGGCCGCAGCCCGCGGCTGATCGAGCCCGGGGGGGCCCCATGGGCCGGCCCGCGCCGCGTCCCCCCCGCGGCCGCCCCCTCCGGCCCGGGCCCCCCCGGGCGCCGCGGGCCCAGGCGGCCGGGATGGCGGTCGCGGCGGCAGGGGCAGGGGCTGGGGCCGGCGCGGGCGGCAGGCGCGGCCACCACTGACGGGTAGTCGGGCACCCCGAGCAGGTAAGCAAGGGCAGGCGGGGGACCCGCAGGGGACCGGCGCTGGGGGAGGACCGGCCCCGTGGACGGAGGTTTGGGGGCTTGCGGGGGCTCCGGATAGACCCGTAGCTTCCCTCCTCTAGCCCAGAACCGGCATGTGTATGAAGGTGGGGTCTAGGGGGCGACAGGTCCGCGCACGGCAGGAGGGGAGAGGTGGGCAGGGCGATCTTCCGCGCCTCTCCAAGCCAGGATCTGGCCCGGGTCCTTGTCTGACGGGACGGGCGCGCCTCTGCCTCCTTGGACCCCCAAGTGTGCGTCTGAACAGGGGTGGAAGCGGGGGCAGCCGGAATCCCCTCCCCAGCCTCTAGGAGGGCGAGACCCAGACACCCGCGCTGCCTTGTGGTGTACAAGGGGCTGTGGGGGGCATTCGGATCCGCGGACCCCAGCCGTGGAGCTGCCGTCGCGGCCCAGCTGCGCGCAGAAGTAAACATCTGTCAGTGGCGCGTTCCAGCCGCCGCCGCCTCCGGGGACACGGTGTCCTCCGGTAAGGGCCCGGCTCTCTCGGCTCCGGGAGCCGCCTGTTCAGCCACAAGAGGGCGCGAAACCCATTTTGGGGGGAGGGTAGTCCCTTAAGGGCAAAGAGTAGATTTGAAGGAGAGGGGGCTGTGCCTCCTTGCTTTTTAAAAAAAGGCATCTCTTGCTCAGTCTCAGAATTCTCCCAGAAGGTGGAGTGTGTGGGTTAGGAGTCATTAGGCAGAGGTGGATGCAGACAGTGGGCAGATTTGGGGTGGGACTGGAGAGAGAAATGGTCCCTCCCAGGGGTTGGTGGTACCACCATCCCTTCCCCCAAGAAGCAACAGTATATATTGTGGTGTCACTGGCTGGGCTCTGGGCCTGTGGTTACCTGCAAGTCTGGGACCCCAGCCCAGATCTGGGGAGCAGGGCCAGGGTCCTGGGAGGGGGGTTGCTGGAGGCCAGACCCCTGACTTTCCTCACTCCTGCCTGCCTGCCCTGCCCTCTCTCTGCTCAATCCTTCTCTGTGTGTTCCATGACACTCTTTGTCTGTCTTCAAGTGCCGCAGGCTGAGGAAGCCCCAATGGGGCGTGACTGGTCTAGGCGGATGTCAGTGGAGGGAAGACTCCCAGCTTTGCCAGTGTCCCCCCCCCCACCGCCAGCCCCTTGCCTTGGGGCCCTTTGGACACCCCTCCTCATTCCCGTCATCCTAGGACTCCTGAGGTTCAGAGTTCCAAAGCCACCCTGGGCCTTATAGACCACTCCTAGTGGCAAGTGTTCTAGGGGTACAGGGAAGAAAACAAAACGTCCCCCCTAGTGGCAGGGCACAGTGACTGAAATTCCACCATCAGGGCTTGTCCCTCAGTTTTCGGGAAACAAGCAGAGAATGTAGCTTTCAAGAGTCTGGGGCAGGAGAAGGAATGAGTTTGCAGCCAGGCACAAGGATACAATCAAGAGATTGTTCCCACAAATGTTTGCTGGATGGTGATGGTGTGGTTGACTGTTGGTGTCTGGGCTCATGGGCCTTGTCCTTCAGGGAAGATAGACTTAGACCCAGGGTGGAGCCCAGAGTGAGGAGCAGAGTGTCTACCTCTGGGTAAGACGATCGAAGGAGACTTCCTGGAGGAGGGGCATTGGGGCTGGGGCTGTGAAGGATAAATAGGAGTTTTCTAAGTGGAAAAAGAAAGGGCATTCCAGGTAGCCGGAACTGCACATCCAAAGATCTGGAGGCAGGTAATAACACGACTGGTTTTGGAAAATCCAGAGTGTCTGGGTGAGTGTGGTGGGGGGAGACCGTTCTGAGAGGTTGGCAGAGGGAAAACTGGGCTGGGGCATTCAGGGCCGGATTCCTGGTGGTTAGGGCTGGAAACACAGAGCAGAGAGGAACGGGTCTTTAATGTGTCTGGCATCACTGGGCCCAGCCTTCTTTGCTGAGACTGTAGATTCCTCTGCAAATGCATCTTTCCTGGTCCCCAAGATAGGACAGAGGGGTCTGGGCCTCTGGGGGAAGGCCCACATGGGGAGATGGAGGGCCAGATGGGGTCTACCTCTGCTTAGTAAGCATGAAGTAAGCATGGGGCGGGCCCAGCAGGAGGCTGGTTCTCCCCAGTCTGCAGCTGAGAAAACTGAGACTGGGCAAGCCGGAGGGATCTTTCCTTCATGCCCCTTATATTTCCTAAGCATCAGGCTACTACATGCCAAGCTCTCTGCTAGGATGAAGCACAGGATAAGATGGGCCTGGTGCCTGATACACCTGGGGGTGGGTGAGGGAGTGGAGGAGAGTCTCCCAAGCCAGCCAGTCAGATCTTTGCATGTGTAGTTCTTCCTACCTGGATTGCCCTTTCTGTTCTCACTTATAAAACTCCTACTCATCCTTCACAGCCCCAGCCCCAATGCCCCTCCTCCAGGAAGTCTCCTCCGACCCTTCTTCCCTGAGGTAGACCCTTTGTTCCCCACTCAGGGCCCCACCCTGGGTCCAAGTCTGTCTTCCTTGGAGGACAAGGCCCAGGAGCCCAGTGTGGGGCCACACCATTTACTGTCCAACAAATATTTGTGGGAGGTTATTTTCAGGAGAGGTTACTTTCAGGGGAGGTAACAGCTACAAAGGAAGCCTGAGGGGAGAATGGGGCACTTCAGCAAAGGTATTCAGGAGCAAAAAAAATCTTCCCTTCAAATCCGAGTGAAACCAGGCTTCAGGCTGGTCCTGGAAGAAATCAGACAGGGGGCTCCTGTTTGCAGCAGGGCGGGGTCTAACTTCCCAGTTGGGGAAACCGAGACCCAGAGAGAGCGTGCCTAAAAAGCTCAGTGCACTGGGGACCTGAGGCAGAATTTGAACTTGGGGAGGTAGAAGAGATGACTCAGGTGCCCTGGTCCCCAGGAAACCAATGGTGGGGTTTGAGTCACACCCGAGGTCTGTGCTTCTGCTCCCCCTTCTGTCCCATGGCCAGCCTTGCGTGGTGTCCTCCTGGCTGCTCCCAGAGGATCCCTTGTGCCACCCGCTGGGTCCCACACCAGCTGCTCAGCCATGCCAGGCTTAATTAGGCTGATCCTGTTATCCCACCCCAGGGAGCCCCCTCCTGCCCGCCCCAGACACCTGCAAGGCCAGCCCCAGGCCAGCCTGGCTAGGCAGACCAGCCTGCTAAGGTCAAGGTGAGAATTTTACAGGCCAGCCGCAGAGGGCTGGGCCAGAAATGGTGGGTCTGAAAAGCTGGCGGCCCTGCCCCGCACGCTCCCCAGTCCAGCCTCCCCAAGAACACGCCCTCCCAGCATCAGGTTCAGAGAGAGAGCTCCAGGCACTGGCGGGGTTGGGGAGGGGGGGCTGGGGTGGCGAGGGGATGGAGAGCTGACCCTGCAGGTCATGTGGCCCAATCTCTCCCCTACCTCATCTCCCCACAGTGACCCCCAACTCCGTTTGCTCCTGCAGCTCCCTCCGCCTAGAACCCTCTCTCCAAATCTTCACTTGGTCTCAACTCAAATGCTGCCTCCTCTAAGAAGCCCCCCTGGCCGCTCACCTTAAAAGGTTCCCCTGGTCACTATGAATTCACCTTGTTTTATTTTGTTGTCCTACTGCCAACATCTAAATTACCTTATTTATTTCTTCTTTCTTATCCATCTCCCTGATTGGACAGGGAGCTTGGCAAGGGTGGGGCCCAGATTGGCCATGGTCATCTTGAGTTCCCTGCCTGGCCCAGCACACAGTAAGCACTCAATAAGTGTTGATCTGATGTGTTGGGGGCGGAGCTCAGCCTGGCACACTGGGCTTGCTGCCATGTGGGCACTTTATTTACTTGCTGGTTCTGCTCTGCTGCATCTCTTTGAGAAAACCTCATTTCTGTGGATGTCAGCCCCCCTTTCTCCCAAACGGCAGGACCTATCCTGCCCTTCCGCTGCTCCCCTACCCTCAGCATGACCCTGGCCTCTCTGGACCCAGGGACTGTGGAGGCATTTGAGAGGACAAGTTTGGAGTCAGACCCAGGTGCAACCTCAGCCCGGCCACTTCTTTTCTTTTCTTTTCTTTTCTTTTCTTTTCTTTTCTTTTCCTTTTCCTTTCTTTCTTTTTTTTTTAAGATTTTATTTATTTATATTTAGAGAGAGAGAGAGAGAGCACGTACACGGGAACAAGTGGGGGGGAGGGGCAGAAGGAGAGGGAGAGAGAATCTCAAGCAGACTCCCCGCTGAGTGCAGAGCCTGAGGCAGGGCTCAATCCCACGACCGAGATCATGACCTGAGCTGAAATCAAGAGTCGGACGCTGAACCGACTGTGTGGGGAATAACGACATCTTTTCCAGGGACCGTGGGGACTGTTAAACATGGGGAAAGCACTTAGCACAGTGCTTCACACTAAATAAACGTAATAGCCAACATGGTGGGGGTGTTAATGTTATTACTGTTGTTGTTAGAGAGGCCATATGGTACAGTGATTAAGAACGTGGAGGGGGTACTGGGGCTGGGGCTTTGAGGGATGAGTAGGAGTTCACCTATCTGTTTTCGAATCCCAACTTGGCCACTTACACTCTGTTTGATCTTGAGCAAATAACTTCACCTCTTTGGACCTCGGTTTTTCCACCCACAAAATGGAGATAAAATAGTCCATACCTTGCTATGAGTTACTATGTGTAAAGTGCTTCGAACAGCACTAGTACAGTTGTGCGTCAGTGCTAGTGTTAGTTATTATTATTATTTTTGCTACTGTTATTGTCACGGGGCAGCCAGCACAGTCCTCCCCAAGAGCCACTCTGTCTATACACCCCTCGGCTTCACTCTGGCGAAGACAGACACAGAGCCCCTTCAGACAAGCTCAGAAGCTCAGACTTGATCCTCAGAGTAGCAGGGAGCAGGCGATGGTTCTAGCAACTGGGCAACAGAGAGCTTCTGCGTGGGGAGAAGAAGAGGAAAGGCTGGGCCCCCACCTCTGGCTAGGCCTGGAAGGTTGGCTGGGGGGTGTTTGTGACTGCAGCCCCCTCCCCATGAGGCCCCTGCAGACGCGGCATCAGAACCGGCTGCGCTAGCCA